GCCATCCTTGGGACGATCAGAGGATTTTGGTCAGTGCAAGAAAAACGAAACTAACCTTCATTAGTAGGGAGTCAGGGATGAAACTGGCAAGGAAGTTTGATAGGAAGTATGATTATCTGCTTCTGTTACCAGTAGTACTGCTACTAACACTAGCAGCTGTCTTCAGTTTGCTAACGCTCTTGATGATAGTAGTGGCTGGATGGTTGTACAGCAGTAATTGCCACCCTTTATCACGCATGCAGTATGAGCGTTAGGTCTCGGAGCGCTAGCACCCATCCGACCAAATCTTCAATCCGTCTATCAAGTAAATTATTGAGTAAGTCTATTAAGTAGTACCTGCCTTGTCTGAGTGGATAAAAATAGCGACCCTTACATCGGCTGACCTCAGCAGATATTGTGTAGGCCAAGAGGCATTCAAATGTAACGACGGTAGAGTAACAAAATAACAGATTACCATGGTAATTACATCTCGGCTGTAGATCGATTCATACTCTTTTCTCATAATTCTATTACTCGTTTTTGAGCCCTATCTCTTGAAAGCTGTGCTGACAAACTGAGATTATGCCGTAGAAACGATTTTTTTTCCTGCGAGACAGTCGCCTGAGTGACGGTACAACATCGATAGGATGGGGTGCGTGTTGTAGACGATGGTGGCTTTTTTATTGATTTTTTCATATAACCTTCTCAGTCGCGTTTGCGGAGTTTTTGTCACCGCTCCTTCAAGGATTGCGATGGCGAATTACGGCCGAGCATTTTTCGTCGGTCGTTCACCGGTATCGACGTTTAAAAAGTTATTGAGTTATCTTCAAATTTTCTAAGGACACTTATTCGCTTTGTTTAATTGTATCAGGTACTGTCTATTTACTGCCACAAATTCGAGTCACATTTCGAGGGAAACTTCGCTTACGGTAAATTTGGCCAAAATTTTGTTCACTGGGTAGTCCCAAACTCTGAGCATGGATGGCGAAAAGAAAAGTGCCAGGCGCACGCGCCACGGGCGAGTTTGTCTTTTGGCACGGATAGCGCACATTCCAGGCAGTTTCGCACTTGGATGCATAGGATATGCAATTTCAGAGAGTTGGCTAGCCCTTCGAAAAAGGTTCAAGCCAATTTGGTGCACCAAACTGCTCCGGCACTGGTGCCAATGGCGCGGGCATCACGCGGTTTCGAGCCGAATGAACGTGCTGTTCAAGTCGAAGGATCGAATAACCACTCGGGACGAAATTATTGCCAAATCTACCCAGGAGAGTAGTTTGCATTGAAATCTGACTTAATTTCAAAGGGGTATCGTTTCAAATAGTACCATGTAAGGAAAAGATCTACCGCCAATAGCCTATAAAGCAGTTGTATTTACGCTCCGTAGGCAATTTCATCTATTTTCGTAGGGAGCATTGGTTCACCATGATTTCCAGTTAACTAATCCATACCGTACCTCAACTTATTCACATTTCTGAGGCGGTTCCCCTTAGAAACCTGAGCTCAATTTCAGACAGCTTCTGATTAGCATTTGGTGTTCCCCGTTCAAGAAAGAAATGTCCCCAGAAAATATTGTGAACTACCATCAAGCCACGCTTGAAGCATTTTTGTCTGTCGTTTTTCGATGGGCCTTTCCATTGATCGAAAACTGTTTTTTTTCTGAGGGGAGCCTAGAAAACTTGGACCGACAAAAACCTACGAAGGTGTTCCCAACTTGGTAAAATTTTCCATGATTAACGGAGTTGTACCGGTACAGTTGGTGAAGGAGTGCCTGCCGTTATTTTTCACTAACTCAGCCCACAGCTTCGATTCCCGCTCTGAAAGGAGCAAAGGCTAGGGAGGCGAAGGAACCTCTGAGCTGTACAGAGGCGAGTTCATTCTCCCAGACTTGGCCGTTAGGTGACAAATCTTTGTGAACAAACGGTTGATGTTATCATTTCGCCAAAGATTCTGTGAATTTTGAGCGATCTTTCATGCTAAGGCAGAAGAGGATGGTGGAATCCTCCTGGGGCATCTTTCACTTATGTGTTTTGTGAGGAAGGTGGTGAAGTGACAAGTTGTGGTGCTTAGCACACCCCACTTATTTCTCTCATCCCTCGGGAATGGGTTTCTTTCCGCCAGAATTGTCTGGGAGGATAACAAGGACATGTACATCGTCCCACAAGTCATAGCACTGGTCAAATAGCGATCAGAATGCCACTAGGGTTCTGGATGGAATTGAAAGTGTGCCATTGACAGTATCAGTGTCACATTCCAAAAGAAGAATCGATCTATGAGCGCTTTCGCCCGGCTTCTAAGGCTAAGGGGCTTACAGAAAGTTCTTCAATGCTGTTTGAGCTACCGTATTCCGCCTATACTCAGCAAAAGGGGCGGAAAAAAGAGTGGTAATGGAGAGGTGGATGTGTCCCGGCTTAATTAGAGGTAAAAGGAAGGCGGTAGCATGAGGTACCGCTATCACACGCTCGATCTGCAGATCGAATAGCCCAGGTCAGCTGGGTCTTCTATCCTTGCGATCTCTACTAACTGATATGTGAGTTATCTATGAGAACTGAAGCATTGATGCGAATAATGGCTGACTTTGCAAGTCATCATATAGAACAGTCATGTCTCAGATGATTTACGATGCTTAATCAAACGATCTTAGATTCATGGCTTATCCCGGAGTGTTGGTCTTTATCCACTTTGCTTACTCAGATCAAATGAAGCAGTTGCGGAGTTATTGCGAAGTTCGTGGTAGTTTCGGAACGAGTAAGAGAAAGTGTAACCATTTCTATATATACTTCCAGTAGTACTCCTTTTGCCAACTGTCTTCACTTTTCCAATAGCTCTTAGTGGTGAAAGTAGATGGATGTGCTGGATACGGTAGCTGAAAAGAATCGGTCCACAGTTGATCATGGCAGCGACGGCTCTTATCAGTAGTAGTTTGTGAAAGAGATATCGAATTCTTTAAGAAGTCAACCGGATCATCTTTGCCATTTTCAATGATGTGGACAATGAAAGGCACTTGAGAGTCCCTATGAACGAAAGGTGAAGTAGTAGCGGTATTTTTGCCCTAACCTGATGAGTGCACTAATTATAGGGTCATTCATAGTCAACCCTTTAATTATATCAAGGGTCAACTACGTGACCTGCGTTATTCACTGGCATCCCGCAGACTACGATTAACAAACAGCTTTGGAACGAAGAGAAAGAGGAGTTCATAGTGGGGCGCACACGGGTGGGCCCGAAGAAACGATTGTAAAGTCATCATCGCGTATGTTGCAAAGGACGTTAAAGAGCATCGAACCGGTGACAACTGAGACAAGGCAGAGTAGTGGGTGTTCAAGTGCAAATACACTTCTTTCAACTCAACTCAACCATCACGTAGTTTCCCGTGCCACACACACACCAATACGAGCAAAGGTATAGTGATTCACTTGGTAATGGGCCACCCACCTCCTGCTGCGCTTTTGTTATTCTGATTTTGATTGGTCATTTGGTATTCATTTATTGGAACTTCTTTTGTTATTTTGTATCCCACTGTTCTAACTGCAACATCGGATGTTGCTGGTCTGTCTCTCGTTGGATCATAGGGTGATCCTGGCCGTTCGCGAACGGTTATAGCGGATCATCAATGCGATAACGCTTATTAGGCCAGTACGAGAGCTGCCATTGACGACCAATACCGGTATTCTACTTGCTATCGTGGCAAGTTTAAGCCTTGGTAACCCTCAGTCCAACCTGCAGTCAAATACGCTCCTTCCTCCTTCGCTGCATGGTTTTTTCCCTTTCGTCTGTGAACTATGTGTGGCATATGTTTTGTCGAGGCATGATGACTTCACGAAGCCATTAATTTCACTTTCCAGTGTGTTGTGAGTGTGCGTATGTCGTGAGTGTGTTGCACTGGTCGGCGACGATCACTATGATGTTGGCAATGGCTGTCTGAAACATGCCTTCTGATCCACTCGTTCGACAGTCTCTCTCCATCCAACACACCGCAACGCATCGTGTCACGCATGAAATTGCGATGCTGAGAAGAGTGAGGACGTCATGAAGAGGGAGAGCAGAGGATCGAGTGAGGATGCGTGCACGCACAGCCAGAACGGGACGGGACGAGTTTCGCTTCATAGCGCGGCGCACGACGACAACGGCTATGACACTCAAGCCGCTTTTCTCCGTAGCCGCAAAAGGCTAGAGAAGATCGGAGGCGTGCGGAATCGCGAAACAATGATCGCTGGCGGGTTTAGCCGGCCATGGGCAAGGTCTAGCGGGGTTGCGCTATGCTAGGGGTGCAAGAGAGAAGAAGTGCTGCCGCTTGCGACATCGGCGCCGCCGCCACCATCGCCGCTGCCACAACCGCCACCGCCGCCACCGACGTCGCACCCGGTTTAGCCGCCCTACCTATTAGCAGCCGCCGAACTCGACACTAGTTCCACGCTTCACCGCCACCATCATCGTCACGTCTAGAAACTTGAGCTGCAGTATCTCATCCATTGAGCTTGATTTTACCCACATTTCTTATGTATCTAACCATAAGAATCATTTCTTTCCTTTATGAGTAATATTGACAGATCACTACTGCATTATTGCTTGGTACAGTAACTCTTAGCTGGAGAGCAGCCGTAAAGTTGGCCTTTCGTTTGTGAGCGGTGAAAACTTGCTGCGATACTCGCCGACTGATAGCATACGATTTAAGGTTGCGTTCGCGAATGTGTATATATTTTTTATTGGATTCCAATTCGAAAACTGGTTAAAAACTCGTTAACACCTTTTCACGCGTTGCTGTTCTTTTTCCCATCAAACGTTTTTCCTCTATGACTGTGGTATTGATTCGATGAAACCTCTTTGAAACGTATTTGTCCTATCGTTCCGGTTTCTATAGGTATGATGGATTGACTAGTAAAATAGAGAAGTAACTTATTAATTATAGAATTTCGATTTCAGGTGTGCAAACCCCTAGTTAGAGCGTTTGTTTCTGTGTGTTGTGTGCTGTGATTAGAACTCTTTAACGCAAGTAGAACTACTTTAACCAACAATAGAGGACTATGGTAGGAAGTGAAGTGACAACTCGTCCAAGGCTTGAAGAACAATGCCCGGTATGCGGTGATCGTGTGTCCGGTTACCATTATGGTTTGCTCACTTGTGAAAGTTGTAAGGTAGGAGAAAAACTCGAGACTTTTTCTCATTTTAACTCTGAATCTGAAACGTTTTTTTCCAGGGCTTTTTCAAGCGTACGGTACAGAACAAGAAGGTTCGTTGAGAGTTCTTCTCTTTGAAGAAGTTGAACATTTTAAGAGTTATACATTTTGGTAAATGAATTTGTTCCAGAGTTATCAATGTGCAGCGTCTTCAAATTGCCCAGTAGACAAAGCCGGTCGTAAACGTTGCCCACGATGCCGTTTCGCAAAATGTCTACAGCAAGGCATGAAAATCGAAGGTAATCGATAACAATGTAGATTCTGATGATTACTTTTATTTCACTCTTTGTTCCCATCCGAGAACCCATTTCTCCGTTCAATCAATTCCTATGATTTATCTCGTGTATTAAGCCATTTATTTTCTGCTAAAAGAGTTATAAGTAGTCCTACAGTAATTGAATATTTTCCTCCTTTTTTCAGTATCAAAATTTTTTTACTCTCTTTGATATTGCCGCTGTTATGCCATGAACCTGCCATGAGCCGTTTATCCGTCTATAATTTTATGATAGTGTTGTGACAAAGACTCTTGTAGAGGTTTAATCCACCGCGACTTACTCTTTGTCTAAGTGCTCAGCCGGCACCTGATCTTCGACGTCCTCTTACCGTACCCTCGCATCATCATCCTCTTCGCGCTGTCTCTCACACTTCTTCGAATCTGTTTTTGGTGCGTTACGGCAGCATGCACGAAAAAAATCCGGTTTCACCAACGCCCTCCATTCTCTCCACTCCTCTCCAACTCTCTCCGCGCATTCGCCGCGTTAGATGGGGTGGAAATTTCCGAGAATTCAATGGCCTACACGCCCACACACGCAGTGCGCACATCCAGAATTCACGTAATTTCGCCCTCTGCGTTTTTCATCGCAAGCGTCGCAGGAGCTTTTGAAAGAAAAACCGGTTGTTCGGGGGAGGGGGGGGGTCATCGATTGATTCAACGATAGGTGTGGGTGCGGTGGTATACGTGGAAGGAGGTGGGGAGGCAGAATAGTGAGCGCGGCGGTCCATGCTATCGATGGCGGGGCGCGGATGAGATAGATGGCATGATCGTTCGTTGACGACAGTGGCGGGCCATCGATAGGGTTGTGCTGCGTTGAGGGGGTGACTGAAATAATTCCGACGACCACCGGAACTCGTTTACGGTTCTTCATCGTACGTTGAACGTCTCTGAACGACAACGAACGGCAACGACGACGACGATGATAAAGTCGTGCCAGTATTACACAAAGTGATCAAGTGTTTGTGGTGAACTCTTTGTAATTATCAGCAGAACGCCTGCGCGCATGCCTTTGGGAACTTCCTGACACATCACATCAAAAGAATCTCCAAAGTCCACTACTAAACATGTTTGCAACAGCTACCCTCTCAGTGATGTTCTCAATGGTATGCATGAAAGTAGAGTAGAATGTAAGAGTATGCCCCTCAAGAAAAGTTGCTGAGGTTGTTGAACTAGCTGAAATATCCTGTCTGCTTCGGAGTCAGTTACGACGGGGGGGGGAGATTGGGAATTGTCGCAACCCGGTTTGTCGGTAATTATAACGTAACATCTGGTTGCAGCAATTTATCTGGTTCCTTGGCACCAACCTCTTCAGCCTAAAGACTCATACTTTAGAGAAGACCTTTGATGTAGAATAGCCTGAGTAATCATTACGATACCCATGTCAACATTCCCAAGGTCTGTCTCCCTTTTGAGGAGGTGATTCGATGGTCTCGGCGCCATCGAATTGGCCAACGCTTTTTTTTATGGCAAAGTCGCAGTAATCGGGCGTGAATTGGTCAGAGATCGAGCCGCTCTTGCGCAATCATTCTACCGATATGACGCTTGCATGATCAAACGATCGACGAACGGGTTCATGGGAAGATCTCGATCGTTCTCATCCTGTTGATTTAGCCTATCCCAGGATGAGAAAGTACATAAGGCTATAGAGGACGGTAATATTGGGTGAAGCTATGAAGTCAAATCGTTTTATGCGCTTGAAATTAACGTGGAACGACTGAAGAAGCAGTACTTTTCGCATTTCGCGATTTTTTAAAACGTCAGCATTCAAGCGGTCCACAACGGAGTTCCAACTGATTGGAAAGTTTACCTCAGTTACGTTGGCCCCTCCATCGCAGTAAATCTTAATTTTACCAAATAATTTGGTTCAAGTCATTATTTACTTTTTTTCCAAAAATTGTAAATGTAATTGGTATCACATAGGAGGAAGCCATGTGAGTAAAAGAAAACAATTAAGCAGTAACACGTTGAGTTCAATTCACATCAACAATGAAAGTAATGAAATCAAGTGGTGAAATTAAGAGGTCATGAGGGAGGGTTGGCAGTTTGAATGTGAAATGCGATAGATATCCCCTCACAATCCAACCAAGACAATGTTCGCATCGTAAAGGTATCGTAAAAGTTGTCGATTCAATTCGCAGATAACAAGTATATGCAAATATTGGCATATACTTGTAATCTGCCACCTAATATGTTAATGTGAATGCTAATAGATATTGAAATTCGTCCTTACTTCCCTTCCTATCCAACGCTTTAAGCATTAACCTTTTTTTTCAAGACTACTTGGTATAGTTCTTGCATTGCAAACAAGTAAACAAATAAATGAAGTATAATCAGAAATCGATAAAGTTTATAATTTGCAGAATTCGTGTTCTTTCTATTGAAAAACATTCTGTGGCCAACAACCTGGTATTCGCCAAAGTTCTTCGTTTTCGCTCTCAGTCCTTTTTTTGTAATTCTCGGAAATTTGAAAACAAAGTTCTTCAGCGTGGAGATAGGAATGCGGATTGGACGGGGTCCACGTTATCATTTGATTGGGAGTGTTCAACGAGGATCACGCTACACCTTAATTTTTCATTAAATTTTTGTTAATATTGTAATAGTAGTAGTGAGGCTATGCTTTGCTTTAGCTCCGTATTTGCATTTCGAAAAGTAAACTCAAAGTGGCGTAAGGGCTATGCGAGCAGCGCTAGGCAAGCAGCAGTGTAGTTACCGTAATCAGCCGAGCTGTTTGTGCTGGGCGAGCGCTCTTGGCGAGCCAATGAACGCTGAGCCGGCCGTTCTCGGCTACCGTACCACACATAAAGCTTTCACTAGTTGCAGCTGTACGAGAAGATCGAATGCGAGGAGGAAGAAACAAGTTTGGTTCCTACTATAAACGTGACCGAGCGCAACGTATGCAACGTAGCTCATTAAAGGAACATACTGTGGCCGACCTGGCCGGTATGGAACAAACCGTAACCAGTAGGTACGTCTATTTAGTACATTCTATTGATAGATTTTGTTCACAGACAGTGATAATTAACTACTTCATGATATCTCGTGGTAGAAGATCTATTCATAGAGTCTTATTTCGGTCACGTATCAGCTATATCTTGCTAGCAGAGCATTGCAAGCAGCGAGAGAGAAATCAAGCGATCACCTTGTTTCCCCCTTAGCCAAAGCGCAGCTAGCTATATCTAAATGGATTCGTAGCCGCGAAAGTGCCTACGTCAAGCACCAAAGAACGACCGCTCTACAAGTCGTTACTGGAGGCCTTATTTTGAAAACTGATGATTTAGTAACGATTATCTTAACGGAACTGACACCGATTTGGAACTGGTTTTAAACTTTTCCAGAGAATTTTTCTTTGCAAATAGCTACGCACTTGCCTCCTCTGTAATATTCCGATTTCGATGATCTTTATCGATTTCCGTTGACCGATATGACTGAAAAATCGACCGCTTTGAATTGAGCAAAAATTGAATTTAAACGAAGCAAAGGATGAGAAAAGCCACATTTTTCATTATCTCAAGGTAGTCTTTGACTAAAATTGGCTTTTTAGATGAGTCAGTCACAAGAAGAATCCATTTTTTGGGTAAATTTCAAAGAAGTAAGGTTTGAGTAAAATATAGATTTATCCTTCCAGCACTGAGCCGATTGTGATGCCATATCCGGATGATAAGGTGAAAACCGAATACGATACCGTTCTACAATGTCTGACGCTCTCTAGCAGCACACCAGTACATCATGGTACTTTTATGATTTTTTTTGTTTACTTTAATTTTCAAAACCTCTATAAGAATGCTAGGTAGATTCATTTGTATCGTATTTTGCATTGAATTCATGAAAAGCTTCCTTTTTTTGCTATGTTTCGTTGGGACGGTCCTTGTCTTCCTCTACCCCTGCCTTCCTTCCCAGGAGTTCTTCGCCGAATGCCAAGCGTGCAGGTTGAGGGCCATATCGAGCATAAGTTACTGCCTGGGCCAACCAGCCTTCCCATTATTACTGATGACGGTTGAAACACTAGCAGGCTGATCCCTGCCTGTGGTTGTGGTTCTAAGATCGCGTTGAAATACTTCCACTACAGATCTGACTGGAAGTAGACTGCATGGTAGACTTTAGAGAGGAGCTGATCAGCATCAAAAGCTCTATCCTCCCTAATCTTTGGATGGGCTTTCAAAATCCAGAGATAGTAATGTTTGTGAACGAAGGGGAGGTGTTCTTGTCGAAATCTAGGAAGTAATTTAGGCAGACCTGGAAATGTTTGAAATCCTTGATATGTCATTAGATTCCTGGGATTAGGCCTGTGACAGAGGTTGCCGCACTCTACTGCTGTTCACGATTAATGTAAACAAGGTTTTTCGTGAAGCCATGTTTTTGCCAAGCTGGGTACCCGTTCTCAAAAATATCTCTCTTCTTTCCCCTTTTCTTACCATGGTATGGTTCATAGCAATTTCAGCGCTTAGTGACAGTCATCGCTTCTAGCTTTCACTTCATAAATCACGTTTGACTGGCCGTATATCCGGGAAATTTTTGGTTTCCTCCTATTTTAGCGATGGGGAATTTTGATAGGAGTTGCAAATTCCCATCAATGACCGGACCATTGCATTTGTTATCATATTGATTTCACAATGAAGGAAAAAATGAGAGCAAAGATATTTCTGGGAATGCTTACAGCCTTCTCGAGTGGACCATCTGACCGCGTGCGTAGCGTTTTAGGCCTTGGATAGGTGACGCAATCGTCTGAGTGACTCAAGATACGAATCTCTCGTTGCGCGCTGTGGGTCCCTGCCGTTTCGGTTACGTGACATCTTGAACTTTTGTGCATGGTCCTGTTACGAAACCCTGTGACGCAGACGGATAGAGGGCAGCGGCTGCCAAAGCATCGAAACGTGCAAGAAACATATGGCGAGCCAGGAAACGGGCTTTTCAAGGGGAGGGGACTCCGGGGTGGATGAGCTACTTATAATCGGTGAAAAGCTGGAATGTGCGAAGTCACAACGGCCATAGAGTGCCATGCGGACGAGAGAGTGCAGAGAAAAAGAGAAGATCGACGCGTTCAAAGAGATCAAGTTCAGTTGTCCGTAGGCCATGCCGTTTCAGATACCAGGGGAATACTTTCTTACTTTTGCCCGACTGGGTAAAACGAAGTCCCGAAAGGAACAAATCCCTCGCGTGTGAGAACTCTAGTACATAGTGAATTCGTTGAATTCACACCATACGAGAAAAGCTAGACGTCCCCTTGCCCTTTCATGCGCTTTTCCGCATCAGTGTTCGGGAGAGGAGGCAGTGTCAGTGCTAAAAGCACAATGGCAGGTACTTTCCGGCTTAGAACGCCAGTTAGTGCATGCCTACAACCCCCTGGGAACAGTGCTGAAATTTTCGCAGGCTGCAGGAAATGCATCGGCTTGATAAGGGTCAGGCAACGTGAAGGACACCTGTCGATGAGCCAAGAGTACTGTATACTCGCTTAATATGCAGTAACATCGAGAAACGGAACTCGAAGTAAAGCTTAAATCTAACGACATCTATGATTTATTTACGTCTTTATTACAATTACTAGTTTTTCTACAAAATTTCGTTCAGGATTGTTTCGATAATGATTTGTTTCTTTGGACCTGTTAATCGCCACACCTTGTTCGAGCTGACGTCACTCTCAAAAATAATTTTCAGTACCGACACCAACAGCACGACCCATAGTCACACATGAGAACGAGGGTCTGGCCGGTCTACTCGGATGTTCAATTGATTTTCCGAACTACCGCATCAAACCTGAACCATATGAACCGGCGCCGAACGATTTTCACCATCGTCCAACGTATCATGGTCATCCAATTGATGACGGTAAGAATATGCTATATGGACGTATTTGCTGTGAAATTGAGCAGGACATTGCTCCCAAATCTGCAATTTTGCGTAATATCAAATTTTTACTGAAGACTGTCGTTTTTGAACCAGTGCTCATTACGTATATCTTCTCATAATGAATTGAAGAAAAGTAAATCCCCTCATACTTCTCCTGCTTTCCTGCCTTGAACACTGGTCCCTTCTGGATTTCACAAAAAAGTTCTTCGCTCAAACTTTGGTCGCTTTTGCATTTGTCGTTGCGTGATTCCTGCGGGTAAGAGTGGTAGACTGTAGCACGAAGCGGTCTGGTCTGTCACTCACGGCTAGCTGGAGGTCATCGAATCTGAAAGGAAAGAATTAGCGCTGAAGGGAACTAACAACGGCAGGCGTGATGGAGCAGTGGATTTTCAAGTGATTGAGTATCACCTGCAGTGCAGTGCATGGGGTTTTTTCGACCTGGAGCGGCTCTGCTCACCAAACACAGATCCATGGATCAATTAGTAGGTCAGCTTTCTCCCGGGCTAACGAAGTCTTCCATGGCTCATGTGTTAATAAGATGGTGCCAAACTTGGCTGGGCACTGACTTATATGACGGCAGATCTCGCAAGTCATTGTCAAGGCCAAAGGTCAAGGTCAAAAGGTCACTACGATTCTGAGCTCAAATATGTAGATTGTACAGTAAATCTCCGAAAGGGACTGATCAACGAAAAAAAAACCTAACCCTCTTTCCTTTATGTTGACAGTAGTAACTTGGTACCCCTCCAGCAATCAGTGTCAAGCAACAGGGAAGGAAGTAGTGCGTGGTATCCTCTCTCAAGGACCACCGTAGTTTTCGAGTTCTTGGCTCGCAGTTCGCGTTTTATGACGATTTGCCGGCTTTGGTGCCTTCCAGACTTACCGTCTTTCCCTTCGTCCATCACTCTACTCTTTGAATTCCTAGTTTTTGGAACAGTTTTTTTTTCGAAATAGAGACTTTTCAAAAACGATTGTGCTCAGGAATTTCATTATGAACAGTTCAAACTACCAATTATTTTGCTAATTTTGCTTTTTTTTCAGGATCATTCCCTGATCATCGCATATTGCCGGTCTGTTCGACGCCGACAGAGAAGCACGTGAGCAACGAATTTGAACGCTCGTCGTCCACGCTCTCCATCATGCACGATTCGCTACCTGACGATTCAAGGTTGAAAAACCTTCCTCTCATAAAAACCGAAGCGAAAACTCCTTTGCAGTTAGCATTTGGTATTGTAAAAAACTGGTTGTTTTTCCTACTGAAATTTGGCGTCAACCAAGGACATCGCTGGAAAAACGGACATGAGATTCGAATTGGAATTCGCTTTCCACTTGGTTATCGAAATCCTTCATATCCGTTATGGTAGCTATGAGAGGGAATGTTCACTTTCAGTGCCCGGTGAAAATCTTGGGTATCGGCTAGTAACCTGAGTTAGGGTGAAGAGGTAGTATGAGGTATGTATACAGTACACTCCTCATACATATCATTAAAAGGACCATTTCAGTGTTCATTTTGATCACCGTCGTATTACTGTATATGTTCCTACGACACTTTATGCATTATTGATAGTTATTGATCGCGAATATCCCTCCCCGGTTATATAATCTAGCCTATCCGACTTTTATTCATGGTAATAGAAAGTCATTTGGTCCCACGTTAATCAGCAGTACCTTTGGTGGGCTTTCAAAACCGAGCCACCCCACTAATCGGATCACGGGGCATCGCACTCAATAAGGAGCTCAAGGAGCCTGGGCGGGGTTAACCTGGATTATAGCGCGGTGGGGAATATTTGCTGACACTGAAGACTTCGACTTAAAGTAGCACATCTTGGTCCGATTCTTGCTTCGGGTTATCTGTATCATATGCCAGGATTTGCAATGTTCAAGAGTAACGAACACAGTCAAAGTTTGAGAACTTGATGGCACATCTCTAGATAATTGTTATGGGCGGGGCCACGTGCACCATTATGATTGGCTCATTGGTGCGCTCCCTTTTCATTGGTGAGTTTCTGCTTCTGAGGAATCATCATTAAAAAGAGTAAATTTGTCCAAGTGACTCCGCCCATAACATCTGCAAGCAATGCACCTCTGAAAGGAGCTCTCAGCTACACGCATAGCGAGAAGTATATCCTTGATGAAACCTGAGCTACATCGTTCACTTTGTAAGAGAACATTTGTGATCCCTGCCTGCACCTACAGTTTTCATCTACTTTTGAATTTCAGACTGTACTGTCTTCTGCACAAATGGCCCCGATGGGAACCATTCTCGTTCTGTGTGTCGGCAGTAGAGGACAATCTGGGACAGCTTGTCGCATGGGCAAAAGCAGCGCCATATTTTCGTGAACTGGAGGTCAGCCATCGTGTCTACGTGGACGTAATCTTAGGGAAATCTCTTAAGAGCCAGTCATTCAATCAGTCAATACTTTTCAGATGGCTGATCAAATGCAGCTCTTGCACGCCAGTTGGGCAGCTGTTCATGTAGCAGATTTCGCCTACGCCGCCGTCATTGGTGCAATACCGGCTAGTATCAAAATGAATAATGGATTGGAGTCAGTGATTTTTTTCATTGATCAGTAGAAAGACAGCTTACATATCGTATGATTGAGAACTGTCCAATCAATATCAGATCCTCCCCCCCCCCACCCCTCAGTATCCTCGGGTGCATTGCTAACCAGTAATCTATCGATTATTTCTAAGTATAGACGAAAGCCCAGAGCTCATGCTGTTCGAGTAATTATACGTAAGACTGAGATTCATAGAAAGAAACTTTCTAACCATAATTCAGTGGAAAAACCAATTTTCAAGACGAAAAGTTGTATGGTTCGGGATCAAGCGCAGCGCTGTGTGCACGGGCTTGACCCAACATATTTTTAGGCACTAGTATTCTACTATGCAGCGACGTGCTCACTTTTTGGTCCCTGTGCTGCGCTACAGGCTTTGCCTTCAAAAAGGGCCTGAGGACTTGACGCCTGTATGTGCCCTAAGCGCCAAGCGGATGTGATCTTCGTTTTCAGGAGGTCACACTGTCCCCGAAGACAAATATATGGGGAAGCCAATCCTCAGGTAACAATTAGAGAGAAGTCGAGCTCAATTTTCGAAGGAAAATGCTTTAAAGACAGTTGGTACGACAAGTCCCAAAGGCGAATAGGATTTACGCTTGGCGAGACGGGATTCCGCGACACCAAGAAGGCCCTGCGCAGCCCTTCCCAAGAAAGATACCCTTATAAGGGCCCTATCAAGCTGCAACATACCGACCCGAACGCCCACCGCGCCCGCCCGCCCACAAATGGACGACCGTTCCTGACGCTCGTATTGATTCATTTGCTAAGCAAATTATGAAGCGAAGGGATTGGTATGAAGCGGCCGTGATGCTGCATGGATATATGAGTACACATATGCAGCCGTACCTTCGGTAGCGGTTATTGGCAAGATGCCTACGGGAAACTCGTCCGAAATTGATTTTTAAGTCATTGAGAACGAAGGCTTTTTCTTCGCAGGATTTTGACCGTTTCACTCCGTTCTTTCGCCATTTTCCCCACTATATAGCGCCCTGCTAGCATTTTAGGCCGAGTACCAAATTATCGTGCCAACTGCCTTCAAAAAGCAAATATTGCACTAGTCTTGAATATGGGATGGGTGAGGAATACTGTATGCCAGTTTCAAAGCGTTGTTTCATTAGTTTGGTAGTTCTTTCGCGTTGCTTGTTTACCTTTGAAAACTGAAAAACTGGACAGCTAACAAGTATGTTCGAAAATGTTTCTATTCAGGGTTCCATCGGGCTTGGCAGCTGTGATGGGCGATTGTTCGTTGCTGGCTTTGTGGACTGAAATCGTTCATCTCCTGGCTAGCCGTGGTTTCACCAGGGTCGACTTGGCTGCTTTTCGATACTTGGCTCTTTTCCACGAGGATGGTAAGTTTGTACGCTATGACTGGACCGCAGCAATCATTCGATCAAGAAATCGTGCACAAAAGCGGGGACAAGTTTACTCTCAGTTCTGGCAGGGTTACCACAGGGTTGTCCACAGGTGTAGCTGTAGAACATCGAAATAGTAGCATAACATGGTAGAAACCGGAAGAGTATCCTCTGCTTAGTCGACTCAAAGTCCTTGTGCGAATACCGCACAAAAGACGCCATTTCGGCGCGATCTGTGCCTGAACTCGGTTGTACTGAACTTGGTCCAAGTCCATATGTGGGACTCTGGGACAGTCCAGGGGACTGGAAAACGACTGGGTGAGAAAGGATTCTTCGAACCTTGCAACCAAAAGTGTCTGCTGTATGATATTGAACCGTTGTGCAAAAAAATGCCTCAAATCGTAACGTGAGTTCTCCACAGGGCAGAAATCCCTATCAGGGCACGTTTTTATCGCTGTAGTTGTCCGTGTTTCATTCACAATTGGTGTTTCGTGGGAAAAAGTGGCTCCCCATGTTTGATTTTGCCAAAAACATAATTTATTAAAACTTCCTGTCAGTTCCAGAAATGTTCCATGAGAAGCTCGTTTTTCTTGAGTGTAGCAGTTACGGTTTTGTTAGGCCAAAAACCTGCCCCAGTGAGCTTTCGAGTGGGGGAAAGGGGTAGGAAGAAGAGCTAGAGAGAATGGAAGGGTGGCGTAATGACTAGTGTCGTGTGCTCAAAAATGCATATGAGTTCAAGTTCTAGTAGAATATATGACAACCCTGTCATTTCAAGAGGATCGTGGTAGATCGAAATTAGCGCTCTTGACATTTTTGTCTAGACCCTTGATCAAATTATTCACTTTACTTACTTATGGGAGTTGTAGGTGAATGTCGTGTGGAGAATCGGGCACTGATTCGTGCAGCTCGGGATTCTTTGATGCGTTGCTGGGGAGAATATCGAGGATCGGATGTTGCGCTTCTGCCACAGTTCACGGCATTTCTTCGGATAAGGTAAGTCTTTATATTTAGTCTGGTAAAATAGGGACGCTATATGCGGCCTAGTTTTGATGCTGGGAGATCGAGAGTAGAGAGCACAGAGAGAAGGGCTCAATCTGTATGCGCAAGCAGGAGTGCTGATAACGTACTTTGAGATTGTTGACCTGGAGAAGACTTTTCATGGGTAGCTTATTGTGGTAGTTACTGGCAGACGAAAGGCACACCATATGGTTCAGATATCAGAGTAGAGCACAGGTCCTGCACGGGGAACCAAGTGTACTTATTTTTCTGCCCAGCTGCGGAACCAAGCGTACTTATTTTTCTCCCAAGCTCTTTCCGAGCCGCGTCCAACCTGCGAGGCGTTGGCCCGGTGGAGGAGTTCCACGTTGGTCAGGCAAAACAATCGATTTGAAGTGGTCTGGTCATTGTGGAACTGCACACCAGGTAGCTCCTTGGTTCAGAGATTAGGGTTTCCAACAGTTTGCTTCTCTGTTCAGGCCTAGTAGTTCTACCAACTGATGCCATCGTCTAAAAGGGTTACTTGACAAGTGGCGCGGCGCCAAGGACCCAGTATTGACATGCAGTAGCCGCAACAGTAGGAAGGCTATTGCGGCTACTGCTTGTCATGGCCCATTCTGTAGGCAGCAGGATATCCTGCTCTGACAACTGAACATTTTTCATAAGCGCTCATTTCTAGCTCTCAAAAAAAATTCGTGATTTGTTTTTGTTACTTTTCGAGTTGAAATTTTACTTTCGGATAAGTTTCTCATTCCTAGGAAGTCCGGTTTCGAATTTCTACCAATAATAGCCGTGTTGACCAGCGAAACCGGTAATTTTCTACGTTTCTGTTGCCGCCCAAAATGGTGTCGTGCTGGGGAGACAGCTGGGAAGCCGGTTTTGCTCCCAAGTGTTGCTTCACACGAAATGTGAACGAAGACCTAAAAAATCGCCCCAAAATAGTCTCATTGGTCCATTGCAAAGAAACCGGTTTCGCTTTCTTATTTGTATATTTGCATTTCTTCCTTCCACCGCTAATATTATAGGGGGAAGTTCACGTGGTTGAACGTTTGAGAACCGAACCGCTTCAAGTCATATCATGGCAAAATCTAATAAAAATATTCTTAGCTCACTGATAAAGTAGGTTTTCGTAAAGGAGGCAAGGGAGGGTGAGAGACAATCGTAGTTGGGGAGGGGAGGGGGCGGTGGCTACACAACCACGCGGCTATACCAAGTTGCTTGTTTTGCCTTGTCTTGCTAGGTATTTTAGAGACCTTCAAGTAGTCTTCAGTAGGGCC